CAATTAATTTATATAAAATATCACACAAGTTAATTTTTATTTTAATATTATCAAATGAATAGTTTAAGTGATTAATTCATTAAATTAAAGTTAATATTTATATTTTTATATAAATTAATTATAAAAAAAAACAATAAATAAATTGTAAACTTATGGGCATGTAATAAAAACTTAATAAAAAATCTAAAAATTTTGTTAAAAGTGTTTAAAAAATTTTAATATTTAAAATAACAAAACATACAAATTTTCATAAAGAGAAAATAAATAAATAAAAGTTCAAAAACTTATTCATCTCTCTCCAAAATACCCTCGAAGTACTACCCCTCAAAGCACAAGGTACAAATAACAAAACAGCTTCTACATCTTACATCCTTTTACGGTTTTACCATTTCTTCTTTCTCCTCTCTCCCTTTCCCACCGAGGGGGCCTTGGCTGTATTTCTCCTGAAGAAAGCAAGATCAAGCTCTCTCTTTTTCCTTCTTCTTTCCAGCCATGAGCCTCTTCGGTCTGGGAAGGTAATTCATTTATATCCCAATTTTTTATCTGTACGCTTAAATTGCAAGACCCTTTTTTTTTTTTTTTTTTCTTTTTTGCTGTTTCTATATAAGATTTAGATATTGGTTGCATTATCCATGTTAGATCTGCTATGATTCTGATTTTATTAGCTGAAATTTAATATGTCCTCTTAATATCATCTTGTTTATTTGATTCAAATCATATTTTAAGTGTTGGTTCAATCCAATCATTATGGGGTCAGGAAGAAGAAGTATGCATGGCTTATATCTGGATTGTTTTTGGAGTAAATTAGATATCTTTTTGCATGTTCTTACCGGTGTAAGGAGTTTGTAAGGCAGTACCTTGTTTTAAAGGGCTATAAATTTGATTTTTTTTTTCTTTTCTTGGGGTATTATAGGAAAGTTCATATAGAAGATCATTGAGTTTGAAGGTGACTCTTTAGTGTAATTTCTTCCCCTTTTTTTCTGTTGATTAATGCATTTTCTTGATAAATTAACAGAAACCAGAGGACATTCCGCCCGAAAAAGAGTGCACCCACAGGTAGCAAGGTCAGTATTAATATTGATCATGTTAGACATCCCTTTCTTTTATGTCTGAATATGATTTTCTTGAATTTTTGTTTTTTAAAATTGTTTCTCTTTGGCCGACATGAACACATTTTTTACTTATGCGGGAGTTAAACTAATTTTCGACGGAGATGACTTCAGTTCATAGGGATAAATAAAGCATCAAAAACAAGAAACAATACTTCTCTTTTCCTTAAAGAGTGAATCAGCAGTCCAGGAAATTTGGTTCTATGGGTAAAACAAAGCCAAAAATGTTAGGCTCCTCAAATCCCTTATTTAATGAATTTTGGTGGATATCCTTTTTTTTTTTTTTTTTTCTTTAAAGCCAAAGCCAATGATTCTAAACTTGATGGCTTCTCAACTTTTGCCTTTGGCTTTCTCACAAAAGGTCTTCTTGTCTTGCATAATCCTAAACATTCCTCCTGTGTATGTATGCCAAATCAGCTCAAGTGGATCAATTGATTCGCCCACCAATGCGAGTTTGGATGTTTTAACACATAATTTTAACTCCCACCTAACTTATTTACCAAACAAATTTACTAAGATATAAGTTCTTTTTTTTCTTTAAAGGAAAAAAACCCTCCAACCTTGCTTTTGAAAAATACCTCTCACCTCCTTTCCCAAAAGTTCCACATTGTTCGGTAAAAAAAAAAAAAAAGGACCGATTTGGCTGAATTGACAGCCTTAAAGGGCTGGAGTTAAGTGTTACAAAGTAAACTATTATTGTCAAATTGAAAACTAATCACATTACAAATGGGCTAAGTGAAGTTTTCCAAGAGTTAAAAAGTTTGTGACCCGTTAAATATTCCATGATCAAATCCCAGCCATGGATCACAACCCGACATGCTACCCAATCATTCCATGCCACGTAATCAACTTGATTTACACGTAAGAGATCCTTGCCTTCCTTGCATCACTCAAAGACAGACATGTGGCCCCCACATGTCCTCTCCCTCCGACCCTCACCGATTTCTTACCGCAGGTTGAACCACCCACCGTAACGGTTTGTAATTAACCCCGTGATACTAAATAACAGATATATAACTGCAATTACAATCAACTAATAAGCAAATATTGTGGTTTTAAAATTAATAACTTTTTTTATAAA